TATATATAAAGATAACAGATCATTGTAATACTTAATTTATTTACATAATGACTTCACGCACTGATCATTCTTTGCTGTATGGGTAAATGAGGGCACAGATTGTGTTGTAAAGCGCTTTGAGTATCTTGATAAGATAGAAAGGTGCTATATAAGTAAAGTCCATTTAATCGCTGGATGTCCGGCCCCTGAGCTGCTGGCTTTCAGTAACTGTGGCCCCCTGAGCAGTTCAGTTGACTAGCCCTGCTTTAGAAGGTGGAATACAGAGTTTATTCCATTTCCAAAACCTAAACTGAGTCTGGAAAAATATATAAAATGGATAAAGCCCTGCAGCTGACCTCATGAGTAGTTCAATACAACAGTGATTAACAGGAAGTAATGCATGCTTGTCTGTATGAAGGTAACTGACCATTGGTAACAATCAGGTCTCTCTTGTAAATGAGTCCCGGAAGCTCAATATGATTAACCTGTTTAAATATAGGTTGAATGAACTGCAAGTAAATCCTCCATTTTCTGTCATAATTACTTTGTATGCTTAACTGTTAAATTAAAGGTTAATCCTTAAAGCTATAGTTGTGCTTTGTTTTGTGTGTTTTGTATGTAGATAAAGCTATGTTGCAACTTCTGGTTGCATAAGTTAATTATTTGTTTGTTATGATCAGTTAACAATAAACTGATTTTGTACAAAGTGTTTATTAGGTTGTGTAATGTAAAGCAGAACACTATGGCTGTAGCATCTTAGCTAGCACTGTATTGCACACCACTCGATTAGCTCTACTTCTTGTTGTGCCAAGCTCTACAAAATAGATATTGAACCAAATGTTTGCTTATGGAGGTAAACGTAGATGTTTAACAAACTGTTAAAATACACCAGAATGCAGGAAATGGCATCTACTTTATTCAAAATTTTCTGGGGGAGGACCCCCCATCACCACCACCACCACCAGTGTGTCCCCCCACATTATTAATGCTTCTGACACCAGTGGCCACCACGTTGTTCAAGCCAAGAACCATTGTCAACACTGGGGGGCTGAGCACTCCTAAAGTGCAGATTCTAGAATCGCCCCATGGTTACTAGATCCACAAACAATAGGAAACTAAAATAAAATCACCATGATTTCAGAAAACACATTGAACCAGACAATCACTGCCAGGCAAAATGAAAAATTACCTTAGAAGGTTTTTATCATAATATTTTTGGTGTATGAAAGTCAGTGACAGTCATCAAATTAATACCCTGTTTACCGTTTCAGTTCAGTAGAAGAATTTATTCATAACTCATCCTTTGTTGGGTAAATAATTTTAAAAATTGTAAATAAAGCCTGTTTATGTTTAAAGTCCAGTTACTTAAATTGTGTTTTAAAGTCCTTCAACCAGCCAAAATAGCCCAGAGGGTTTTTGTTGTTGTTTGTTTTAGTTCTTCTTCTGGCTT